AGTGTGGACCACAGAGGAGATTGCATCCTCTGTTGATCGGTTCTCACAGTATGCATACTGATGAGGGTCCTCGTTGATGTTGATGGTTGTTTCAGGGAAGGCCCTGCATTTTTCAACATGATAATGCCAAACCACATTCTGCAGCAATCACAACATCATGGCTACGTAGGAGAAAGATCCGGGTACTGAAATGGCCAGCCTGCAGTCCAGATCTTTCACTTATAGAGAACATTTGGCGCCTCATAAAGAGGAAGGTGCTACAAAGAAGGCCCAAGACGATTGCACAGTTAGAGGCCTGTATTAGACATGAATGGGAGAGCATTCACACCTTCCTCTTTATGATGTGCCAAATGTTCTCTATAGGTGAAAGATCTGGACTGCAGGCTGGCCATTTCAGTTAGAAGCCTGTATTAGACATGAATGGGAGAGCATTCCTATTTCTAAACTGTCCCCAGACGTCTGTTGAGTGTTGTAAGAAGGGGGGATGCCACACAGTGGTAAAAATGGACTTGTCCCAACTTTTTTGGGATTTGTTGACGCCATGAAATTTGGAAACAACAGATTTTTCCCTTAAAATTATACATTCTCTCAGTTTAAACTTTTGATTTGTGATTTGTGTTCTATTCTGAATAAAATATTAGATGTTGGCACCTCCACATCATTGCATTCAGTTTTTATTCACAATTTGTTTAGTGTCCCAACTTTTTTGGAATCCGGTTTGTATCTGGATTCCTGAGCATTAACTTTGATGCTTTGAACCACTTTGGCCATGACTGCCTCAGAGGTGTCAGCAGGGGAGAGGGCGGACTCCAGATACCAGCTTATCGCCATCAAACTGGTTGACCCACTATGTGAGGTGCTGTTTATAAGACTGAGTTTGTTGTGACTCCTCAGACTGATGAAGTCTTTTGGATGAATGATGAAAAGTTTCAACAAGAAGAAACTGTCCTGAGGACCTGACTGAACTATCTACCTGGATTACTGAGCATGAACTTTGATACAAGACAGACAGTATTTTCAAACTGTCAATTAATAAATCAAATAAACACAAAGGCAAAATATTGACTGTACATGGTGCTTTTATAGAGTCTCTGCAAATGCAATCAAAAAGTAACAAAGAGTTATTTGGCGATGCCGGACAGCCAGCTGAGTTTAAACAGTGACGGGGACGGAGAGTCTTCATCCTGATCAGCAAGCTGTCTGAAGAGGCTGCCGGGACGGAAACTGTCCTCACTTCCTGCTGACGAGGACTGAAGAGCCTGCTGGAGGAAGAAGACACAAGCAGTCACTTATTGTCTTGTTTGATGATAAGCTCGTACACAGCCCTGCTCTCAGACCTCAGCCTGATCCAGGTTACAGCCACACTTCAAGCTCTTCTTCTTCAGTCTAATTCTGTGAGTTTCATCTGCATGGGTTTATTTGAACAGTCCCTTAAATAAAAAACAAAGCCTTCTTTGAAGGCATGCATAGTTTTACACTAAGATCATATAATATTGAAACAGGAGTACTGCAAATGGCACATTATACACCCATCGAGCAAAGACCTCACATAACCTTTGACCTTGGAGCTGGGGTGATGAAAAGATTAAGCAACAGGCTGACTAGTTGTGGTACACATTTGTATCAAGTTTCAAAAATGTATCTTGAGCAGATAAGAAGTTATAGCCCGGACAAGTGAAGACCTTGTTTTAACTTTGACCTTGACTTGTAACCTTGACTTGGGAGCTGGGGTGATGAAAGTGTACACAACACTTCGTCTACTGATGATGCACGTGTGTATGCAGCTTCATTAAATTATCTTGAGATCAGAAGTGAGGAGCGGGACAAGACAAAGGTCACACACATACAAACGTCTGGAGTGATGTGGCGGCCATCTTGAATTAGGCTGATTTCAAGTTAATCAGCTGTAGACGTACAGTACATCCAAGGATTACTTTCATAAAGTAATGAAAGTTTGAGTTTATGAAACTTTCATAAAGTCATTTTAAATTATTTAGCACCTGATGCTCCTTTGTGCAGCCCACACTGCAGGGTAAACTTCCTGCTGCAACAGATCAGCCGATTTCTGTACAGAATGGAGAAGTGGGCGTGGCCAAGAGTGCTTGCAGGTGGCAAAGAGCAGAGGAGGCAGGGAGCTGAAATCATAACATTCTGTGCTCTTTTAGAACGTTTAGAGTTTAGAAACATTGTTTAGAATATTGCAAGTGTGTGGGGTTTAAAACATATTTTTATATAAATATAAATACTAAAATAAACTACTACTTACTACTTGTACTACTATTCCTACTTTGCAACTTTTCACTTATTGTGGGGCTTCAGGGTACGGATCCCCCATGATAAATGAGGGACTACTGTACTTTCAATAATGTTTTTACTTCCATCCCTCCACTTTTGATTTTAATATGAGCCCACTAGGTGGCGCTCTGCACTCGCTCAGTGAACGAGGCTGTAAAAGGCACCTCCTCAGCAGCTGTTCAGTTGGTACCACAGTGACTGTTCAGGACCAGGAGACCAGAACCACTCACAAATATGTAACATTGGCTTATTTCCTCAATAAATAAAAGACCCAAGTACAATATTTTAGTCTCATTTGTTTAACTAGGTTCTCTTTATCTAATTTTAGGACTTGTGTGAAAATCTGAGGATGTTTTAGGTCATAAAGCAGAAAGTATTGGTAACAAAGATCAGCATGGTCCAAACTGAATTAATGAAGCACTCCCACTCTGCAGGTGCACCAAACCACAGCACAACCAGAGCACAAACACCACACCACTGATGAACTTGCCTGGAAGTGTGGGGGTGGTCTCGTACCAGAAGTGCTGGACAGGGAGAGGAGGGTTCAACACATAACTTTTTACCCAGACTAAATAAGCTCCAACTGCAGCACAACACAAAAGACGACACTCAGAAGCCTTTCCTCACCGTGGTCTTAGGAGGATCCACGCCCACCGATGAGCTCTTGGATTTCCGTGCATTCGACATGCTGAGAGGCAACAACCCGAACCTGCAGATCAGTAAACAACCACAGAGGGGGTGGGTGTGGGGTTTGAGTCCAACAATAGAAACACGTGGTCAGGACCACCAGGGAGTCCTGACCTCTGCAGAAACATCAAAATATCTATCTTTGACTGAACTCCATTACTCTGAACATCTGCCTCTGAACCACACTGTGTTTATTGTGTCATCGTTCATTTTTACTGTCAGAATAGCACGATGGTAAATGGTAAATGGACTGTACTTATATAGCGCCTTTCTATCTTATCGAGATACTCAAAGCACTTTACACTACAATCTGTGTCCTCATTTACCCATTCATACAGCACTCTGCTAGATCTCTACAAAGCTAATTGAACAAATCATTCTAAAGAGACTAATCAGAGCTTTATCACATTCATACACCGATGGGACACACATCAGAGGCAACGAGGGGTTCAGTGTCTTGCCCAGGGACACTTCGGCATGTGACTGCTGGTGGATTTGAACCACCAACTCTTGCATTGGAGGACGACTGCTTTAACCACTCAGCCACAGCCGCCCTATGGATGCCAGATGTTAAAACAGAAAAACAACTTCTCTTTCACATAGCTTTATTAACGGATATTAATTATATTCTGAAGTGGATTTCACTGCAAACGTTATGAATGGTTACTATCTTACCTGTTGAAGATATATTTTTGAACAAGTGATGAAGGGCTAGTCTGAGTATAGTAAGACCAGTGAGTCTTTGTTTCATAATTACAGTCACACACATGCAAACAGCAGCAACAACTAGCTGCAGCACTTCTGGTGCAGCCTGAGGTCATTTCCTGCAGGAATTTCGTGTTAATGCTGACTGTACAATGTAACAGGGACGGTGGTTTAAAGAGATCTCCAACTAGTTGCAACAATAGATCTCATCTGATAAAAAATTACTTCAGTTATAAAAATGAGACCATTAAATACTGTAGGCTGTTTAAGATGAAAATGAAACGTTTCAACAAGAAGAATCCGTGCAGAGGACCTGACCTGGATAGATTTATCTACCTGGATTATTGAGCAGCATCCGGATAAATAGTCTGCTTAGTTTTAAGAATTTTTGTTTAATTTAATGACACACGGGCGCCACCATTTTATTTAAGCAGCAATGCATTCTGGGTAAATGACGTAGACAGTTTTTTTCCAGTGCAAGTTCCCTTCAGCTTGAATGTTAATCCTGAACATTATCTGACATTCAGCCCTTTAATGTGAGCTGGAGCATGTTGACAGAGAGGAGAATGCAGAAATGATTGAGTTGTTGCCTTAGACCCAAAGTGAGCTATTAGCTTCAGAGCCAATGGCATTAATTCCTGAGCTAATTTTATGGCACTTTGCCACCGTCTCAACTCTCATTGGTTCCACATCACACCGCACCAGTTAAGGGCCTTCCCACTGCCAGTATCCACCCCACTCAGCCCGGTTTATGGGACCACCTTGTTCATTGTTCAAAGCAAACTGCTCCAAGGTGACATGAGCAGATGGCAACCGTTGATTGGCCAGCGGAGCAGTCACTGGATGAACCATCCATCCATTAACTTCTGCTTATTCCCAAGTCAGGTTGTGGGGGCAGCAGCTTGAGCAGGGAGGCCCAGACATCTCTTTCCACAGCCACTTCTTCCAGCTCTTCTGGGAGGATTCCAAGGCGTTCCCAGGCCAAACGAGAGACATAGTTTCTCCGGCGTGTCCTGGGTCTTCCCCAGGGTCTTCTACTAGTTGGACATGCCTGAAGCACCTCTCTAGGGAGGCGCCCAGAAGGCATCCTTACCAGATGCCCGAACCATCTCAACTGGCTCCTCTCGATGTGGAGGAGTAGCGGTTCTACTCCAAGTCTCTCCCGAATAACTGAACTTCTCACCCCATCTCGAAGGGAGAGTCCAACTACCATGCGGAGAAACCTCATTTCAACCGCCTGTATCCGCGATATCATTCTTTCAGTCACTACCCAGAGCTCATGACCATAGGTGAGGGTAGGAACGTAAACTGACTGGTAAACAGAGAGCTTTGCCTTACAACTCAGCTCTCTCTTCACCACAAAGGACCAGTACAGAGTCCACAATACTGCAGATGCTGCACCAATCCATCTGTCAATCTCACACTCCAATCTTCCCTCACTCGTGAACAAAACCCCAAGACACTTGAATTCCTCCACTTGAGGCAGAACCTCACCCTCGACCTGAAGAGAGCAATCCACCCTTTTCCGGTTGAGGACCATGGACTCAGATTTGGAGGTGCTGATTCTCATCCCAGCCACTTCACACTTGGCTGTGAACCGCTCCAGTGAGAGCTGGAGATCACAGCACAATGACGCCAACAGGACCACATCATCTGCAAAGAGCAGAGATGGAATCCTGAGGCCACCAAACCGAAAACCCTCCGCCAGCTAGCTGCACCGAGAAATTCTGTCCATAAGTTATGAACAGAATTGGTGACAACAGGCAGCCCTGGCGGAGTCCAACTCCCACCCTGAAGGGGTCCGACTTACTGCCGGCAATGCAAACCAAAATCTCGCACTGCTTGTATAGGGACTGAACAGCCCATAACAACGGGCCTCCAATCCCATACTCACGGAGCACCCCCACAGTGTACCCCAAGGAACACGGTCGAATGCCTTCTCCAAGTCCACAAAACGCATGTAGACTGGATGGGAAAACTCACATGACCCCTCAAGGACCCTAGTGAGGGTAAAGAGCTGATCCAGTGTTCCATGACCAGGACGGAACCCACATTGTTCCTCCTGGATCTGAGGTTCGACCAACGATCAGACTCGCTTCTCCAGTACCCCTGAACAGACCTTACCAGGGAGGCTAAGGAGAGTGATGCCCCTATAATTGGAGCACACCCTCCGGTCCCCCATTTTGAAGAGGGGAAACACCACCCCAGTCTGCCAGTCCAGTGGCAGTGCCCCCGATGTCCATGAAACGTTGCAAAGGCATGTATTAGCCAAGACAGCCCCACAACATCCAGAGCAAATCAGGGTGAATCTCATCCACTCCTGGAGCCCTGCCGCCTCAGAGCTTTTTAACTACCTCGGCGACCTCAGCCACGGTTATGGACGGATCAACCCCAAAGTCCCCTGACTCAGTTTCCTCCATGGAAGACGTGCTGGTGGGAATGAGAAGGTCCGCAAAATATTCCTTCCACCTCCCGACGACATCACTGGTTGAGGTCAACAGCACCCCACCTTCATAGAACACAGTGTTAGTAAAGTGCTGCTTTCCCCTCCTCAGCTGCCTGACGGCTTGCCAGAATCTCCTCGGAGCTGACCGAGAGTCTCTATCCAAGGTCTCACCGAACTTCTCCCACATCCGAGCTTTTGCCTCAGCAACAGCCAAGGCTGCACACCGCTTGGCCCTCCAGTACTCTTCAGCTGCCTCCAGAGTCCCACTGGCCAACAAGGCCCGATAGGACTCCTTCTTCAGCTTGACAGCCTCCCTAACCCGGGGTGTCCACCACCGAGTTCGTGGATGACCACCGCAAGAAGCACCGACAACCTTGTGGCCACAGCTCAAGGCAGCTACCTCAACAAGCGAGGTGCAGAACATGGCCCACTCAGAGTCAATGTCCCCCACCTCAGCTGGGATGCGGTTAAAGCTCTCCCAGAGGTGAGTTGAAGATCTCTCTGATGGGTTCTTTTGCCAGGCGTTCCCAGCAAATCCTCACTACACATTTGGGTCTACCGAGTCTGTCCGACATCTTCCCCTACCATCTGATCCAACTCACTACCAGGTGGTGATCAGTTGACAGCTCAGCTCCTCTCTTTACCCGAGTGTCCAAAACAAACGGCCGCAAATCAGATGACACGACTATGAAGTCAATCATCGATTTACGACCTAGGGCGTCCTGGTACCAAGTGCACTTATGGACACCCTTATGTTTGAACATAGTGTTTGTGATGGACAAACTATGACTAGTACAGAACTGTCATTACCCACGTGGGCATTGAAGTCCCCCAGCAGAATAAAGGAGTCCCCATCTGGCGCACCTTCTAGCACCCCTGCCAAGGACTCCAAGAAGGTCGTATACTCTGAACTGCAGTTTGGCGCAAAGGCACAAACAATAGTCAGAGCCCGTCCCCCCAACCTGAAGGCAAAGGGAAGCCACCCTCTCATCTACCGGAGAAAACTAGAACACACAGGTACCAAGTCAGGGGGCTACAAGTAGACCCACACCAGCTCGACGCCTGTCACCATGGGCAACTCCAGAGTGGAATTAGGTCCAACCCCTATCAAGGAGATTAGTTCCAGAGCCAATGCTGTGCGTCGAGGTGAGCCCAACTATATCTAGTCGGTACCTCTCAACCTTGCGCACAAGCTCAGGCTTCTTCCCTGCCAGAAAGGTTACATTCCATGTCCCAAGAGCTAGCTTTGGTAAGCCAGGGTCAGAGCGCCAAGGTCCCCGCCTTCTGCCACTGCCCATAGCATGATGAACTGGATGAACCACCCAGCAAAACTGCAAACTACATCTGAACCTCCAATTCCTCTCTGATCGTGTTGACGGATGGCACCACATGAAATGAGAGCATTTACAGAGCGATATTGGAGATGATAGCTCAGCATGGCTACACATGGACACAGTGATAAGATAAAAAATAAAGTCAGATTATAGGGCGATTAAATATCACAAGCCGAGTGTTACAGTTACAATACCGCCCACATAGCTAGAAAAAAGTCAGTGTCAAATCACCTACACCTGAGAAGAACCAAAATTCCGAACTTGCAATGACAGCATTGTAAGATGGGGACAGTTGAAGACGGAGGCATCTGCTACTGTTTAATGATGGCAAATTGTAAATGGACTGTAATTGTATATCTCCTTTCTATCTTATCAAGACAGTGAAAGCTCTTTACAACACAATCTGTGCCTCATTTACCCATTCATACAGAACTTTACTAGATCTATACAGAAAATAATCAGTGCTTTAGATCACATTTGTATATCGATGGGACACACATCAGAGACAATGAGGGGTTCAATGTCTTGCCCAGGGACACTTCAGCATGTGACTGCTGGTGGAATCGAACCCCCAACTCTTGCATTGGAGGACAACTGCTCTAACCAGATGCAGCTTTAGAAATATTACTAGAGCCTGATTTGTGTTTGAACAGTTTTTGTCCTGTTGAGCTCTCTGAATTGTCAAAAATAATAACCTTATCCAAACCATCCACATGTCTGCTAGATCCCATCCCAACCAGACTGTTTAAAGATGTATTTCCCTTAATTAATGTCCACATTTTGAATCTGCTTAATTTGTCTTTAATGAATGGTTACATACCACAGCGCTTTAAGGTTGCTGTAATTAAAGCTTTACTTAAGAAGTCTGACCTTGATTCAGAAATTCTGCCCAATTATAGACCTATATCTAACCTAACTTTCATCTCAACAATTCTAGAGAGAATAGTTGCTGGTCAGTTACGTGAACATCTATAAATAAATAATCTGTTTGAAGAGTTTCAGTCAGGGTTTAGAGCTCATCATAGCACAGTAACAGCATCAGTGAACAGCTCTTGGTGTCTCCTACCACCGAGGAGCTAACCTCTCAGTTCAACTCTGCCTGTTTAAATGTTCTGGACCGTGTTGCTCCCCTTAAACCAGAAAAACGAAACTTAGATCTGAGCCTTGGCTGAATGACGTCACTCAAGCCGTTAGGGAGCAGTGTCGCAGAGCTGAACGAAGGTGGAGGAAGGACAGGCTGCAGGTTTCTTTTCAAATGTTAAGGGAGAGTTGGCGTCACTATCAAAAAACTATTAAAGCTGCCAAATGTAAATTCTTCTCTGATTTGATTGTCTCCAAATCCCACAACCCCCGAGTTCTTTTCTCCACCCTGAACTCAGTTCTACACCTCAGTGAGCCTTCACCTCTGGATGTCTCAACTGAGCTGTGTGAAAATTTCCTCCATTTCTTTTTAGAAAAAGTGGCAAACACCCGGGCACTCATTTCTCCACCAGCTCATGATCTGTCCATCCCATCTCAGTGTGTGGCTGTGTTTGACCACTTTGAGCCCATCTCTCTGTCCTCTCTGGAGCAGGTAATGTGCAGCATGAAGCCATCTGGTTCCCCCTTTGATGTGGTCCCCCCTCGACTACTAAAGGAAGTTTTTCCTACCCTGGGTCCTTTTATTCTCGCTATTCTGAATAGCAGTTTATCCTCAGAGTCAGAGTTTCTTTATTGTCATTCGCACCTCATGTGGTACATGTGGTGGAGCGAAATTATGTACACGGGGTCCCAGTTACATCCAACAATAAAATGTCTAAGAAAAACAGTAATAACATCTCAGGTGTGGTGCCAAAGACTTTTAAACATGCTGCTGTCCAGCCCCTCCTGAAAAAACTTAACCTTGACCCCTCAGTCATGTCCAACTTCCGGCCTGTCTCCAGACTCCCATTCACCTCTAAACTACTGGAAAAAATTGTTGAGTCTCAGTTGAAACAGTTTTTGGGGGATCACGCTATCCTAGAGTTATTCCAATCTGGCTTCAAATCTCTCCATAGCACTGAAACTGCTCTACTGAAGGTTTTTAATGACATTTTCACATCCACAGACGCAGGTGATTCTGTGCTGCTTGTCCTATTGGATCTTACATCTGCTTTTGACACCATCGACCACAAGATCCTCATTTCTAGACTGGAGCAGTGGGTGGGCATCACAGGGTCAGCCCTTAAATGGTTTGGGTCCTACCTCTCTGACAGAACCTTCTGTGTCAATATCAAAGATTTTAGTTCGGCATCGACAGCGCTCCAGTGGGGGGTACCGCAGGGGTCCATCCTCAGTCCCCTTCTCTTTTCTTTATACCTGCTGCCACTAGGTGCTATTTTCCGCAAACACAACATACCCTTTCACTTTTACGCCGATGATTGCCAAATTTACTTCCCCCTGAGGCACAGAGGCACACGCTGTAATCAGCCTCTTCTTGACTGCCTGGCTGACATCCGGGACTGAATGGCTTTAAACTTCTTAAGCTTCAATGAGAAGAAGTCTGAAGTCATGCTGTTCCATCCCAGTGGCTCACTCATGAACCATGACATTGACCTTTTCTCTCTAGCCCCGCTAGAGAAACAAAAGGTCACTAATCTGGGGGTGATAATGGACCCGTCCTTAAAACTCAACAGTCACGTAAACATGATGGTCAAATCCTGTTTTTTTCAGCTGAGACGGCTGTCTAAGCTGAAGCCTATACTCTCCAAAAAGAACCTTGAGACAGTGATCCACGCCTTTATAACATCTAGGCTTGATTACTGCAATTCACTTCTGTTTGGAATCAGTCAGTCCGCCATTTCACGTCTTCAACTGGTCCAAAATGCTGCAGCCCGATTTTTAACTGGTATAGGCTATAGAGAGCACATCACGCCAGTTTTGGCCTCCCTGCACTGGCTACCCATTCACCTTCGGATCCAATTCAAAATTCTCATGTATGTTTTTAAATCACTGAACAGTTCCGCCCCATCCTATCTCACTGATCTTCTGCAGCCATATGTCCCACCACGCTCTCTGAGGTCAGCAGACCAGATGCTTCTCTCAGTCCCAGAAACCCGTCGTAAGCTCAGAGGTGACAGGGCTTTCTCTGTTGCAGGTCCACGACTGTGGAATGAGTTGCCACTGAGTGTCCGGCAGGCTCCCACACTCTCAGTCTTTAAGTCTCGCTTGAAGACCCACTTCTATTCGATTGCCTTTAACACGGTGTGATTTGTTTTGGTCCGGTCTGTTCTCTACTCTGTTGGCCATTTTAGTTAGCTTCTGCTGCTATTTGTATCTGTATTTCTATTTTATGTTTTCCTGTCTGCTGTGCATGTTTGTTTTCTCTTGTACAGCACTTTGGTTGGCCTTGTTGTTGTTTTAAGTGCTCTATAAATAAATTGGTATGGTATGGTATGGTATGGTGAAAGTCACTAATGATATTCTCATGGCCTCTAACTATGGACATGTATCTACACTGATCCTGTTAGACCTCAGTGCTGCATTTGATACAGTTGATCATCATATTTGTTACAGAGGCTTGAATATGATATTGGAATTACAGGAACGGCTCTATAATGGTTTAAATCATATTTATCTGATAGATTCCAATTTGTAAATAAATCTTCGTACACAAAAGTTAGTCATGGAGTTCCTCAGGGCTCAGTGCTTGGACAAATACTCTTTACTTTACATATGCTTCCATTAAGTAATGTTATTAAACAGCATGCAATTAATTTTCATTGTTATGCTGATGATACACAATTATATTTGTCCATGAAACCCAATGAATCCAACCAGTTACTTAAGTTACAAGCATGTCTTAAAGACATAAAAGCCTGGATGAGCATTAATTTTCTCCTTTTAAACTCAGACAAGACCGAGGTTTTAGTTTGTGGACCTGAGTATCTTAGGAATAATTTTTTCAGTTTTTCTCCCTCCTTAAATGGCATTAATCTGGCCTCCAGTTCTAATGTTAAAAATCTTGGTGTTATTTTTGATCAGGACATGTCTTTTAACCCTCACATTAAAAACATTACTAGAACTGCCTTCTTCTACCTGTGTAACATCATTAAAATTAGAAACATCTTATCTAAAAATGATGCAGAAAAACTGGCTCATGCATTTGTCACGTCTAGACTGAACTATTGCAATGGTTTATTATCTGGGTGTCCAAATACTTCTTTAAAAATTCTTCAGTTAACCCAACATGCTGCCAGTCTTAACTGCAGGTTATGGTTCCTAGAGTTTCCAAAAGCAGAATGGGAGGCAGAGCTTTCAATTATCAGGCTACTCTCTTGTGGAACCATTTATTTTTCCATTCAACCTTTATTTATACAGGTTAATCCCATTGAGCCTTGAACCAACTTGAACCAACTTCCAGTTTCTGTCCATGAGGCTGACACATTGTCCAGTTTTAAGACTGGGCTTAAGACTTTCCTTTTTGATAAATCCTACAGTTAGGGTTGGCTTGGGTTTCCTGAGCTGTCCCTTAGCATTATGCTGCTATAGGCTTAGACTGCTGGAGGACACACTGACCACATTTCTTCACTCTGCTACTGTCTTTACTTACTCTGCTCAACCTGTTTTGTATTTGTAATTATTTCTTCTATCCTTAAAATGTGTTTTTGTCATTCAGGTTCACCTGCATCTACACCTGGACCTGCCATTCTGTGTTTGTTTCCCTCTTTTTTTCCTGCCTTCTCAAACCAGCCTGTCAAAGCAGATGGCCACTTGTCCTGAGCCTGGTTCTGCTGGAGGTTTCTTCCTTTTAAAAGAGAGTTTTTCCTTTCCACTGTTGCCATTGTGCTTGCTCAGGATGGGAGAATGCGACAAAGTGAAGATTCAATGAGTCTGCTGGTTTCCTTAGATAGAGAACTTTACCAATTGGCTTTTCTACGTACAGTATAGTTACTAAGCATACTGAAGCCTTCAGTTTCTGCAATACTTTCATCAACTAATCATAAAAAATGTGGTTCAAAAATAATTTATCTTAATTTTTTTATAGCAGGTTCTGCTAATGCTAGTTTTAAATTTAAACTGCTGTCAGTTTCAGACTGTGTTGTTTTTTCACCAGAAAGTGCTACAATTAGCTGCTGCTGCTTTGTGCTTGTAAATGACCACAGAATGTGCTCGTTCAGTCATCAGTCATGTCATAAATAAACTGAGCATACAAGTGGCATACTATTAATTGTTTGAAACTTTCACATAGAAAGCCACTTTCGAAAAGCTGAAATATCCCGAACTGGTGGTGACCTCTGACCTGATCTGGCTGCTGGCCAGTGGCAGGATGTTGTAAGGTTCCTGGGTGTTCAGAGCACTGCTCCGTGAAGTAAACTGCTTCTCTGACCCAGTAAGCAAACCCAGCAGCACCTGAAAGGTACAGTTATCAACAGTACATCAGCAGCATCTTCACTCATCATAACTTTTCTATAAACAACGTCAGCTGTGATTTTTGTCTTTCCTTCATGTGTTGTCGTGTGGCTCCAACGTACCGAGGTCCTCTGTGACAGGTGGCTGAGGTTGGCGGTCAGCAGGGGGGTGAACACATCCAGGTCAAAGGGGTCGATGAAACTTTCCAACCAATCACAAATCTCATGGAATCTAGAAGATATGGCCCAACATTTAAAAAAAAACAAAAAAACTCAAACTTATTTCTAATGATCAAACATTAACGTGGAAAACTGCAGGAAAGTGGCCCTTTGATGAATGAACCATTCATCCATACATCTGTTCATCTTCCGCTTGTTCTGAAATCGGGTCTTGGGGATAGCAGCTTGAGCAGAGTGGTCAATTCAATTCAATTCAGTTTATTTATATAATGGACTGCACTTAAATAACACTATCTTATTAAGATGCTTAAAGCGCTTTACACTACAATCTGTGCCTCATTTACCCATTCATACAACACTACTATTTATGTACAAAGTCTAATCAGAGCTTTATCACATTCATACATCGATGGAACACACATCGGAGGCATTGAGGAGTTCAGTGTCTTGCCCAGGGACACTTCAGCATGTGACTGCTGGTGGAATCGAACCCCTAACTCTCCAATTGGAGGATGACTGCTCTAACCACTCGGCCACAGCTGCCCCACCCATGAACCTGAGATTAAGGGGCCGTTTACACGGCGCGTATTTTGAGTGCATCCACTCCTTTCTCTCTGCAGTTCTGCTGATCATTTACACGACACCAGTGGGCCCCCTCTTTGAATCCAGAGGTTTCTGAACCCACCTTCCAGAGTGGAGGTTTTTCGCTGACCCCCCGCTGATAATGTAAACATCTCCCACTGAGGTTTTGTGTTAAACCACATGCGCACACGCAGACAGACACTATATTTCTATCAACATGGCGGCGGACACACTGCTTTCAGAACTACGACCGATGGAATATATTTTTAATCTTGTAGTTAATCTACGTCAGATTCCAGGTGCTGTGACCGACATCTGTGTTGGAAGAGACACAGTCTGATCCAGTTCTAATATCGCTGTTTATAGAACATGGCACGCTCACACGTCGTGTTGCATTATAACATCTAAATGTGCTAAATAATAACAGTTTAATAATAATAAACAGTATTTATGTTAGTGTGAGAGATAATGAAGCTCTGAGCTAAATGAAGCTATCTGGACATTATGTAATTCAAATTTAAAATGATGCTAAACATATAGCGTGAACACTAAAGTTGAAAATGAAGACATCAGGTTTAATTTTTATTTATTTATTCAACACCACAAACTGTATGTCACACAAACACTGATAATTAAACTGAACACACTATTAAAACAGGTTAACTGTAAACTACGTTAATGAACAACTGGACTCTTGTTTTCATCTGGTATGGAAGTCCCACGTTGTTCATCTGGCTCGTTCAGGCGGTCACTACTTTGATTAATGTAGCTTAAAACATTGAATGGACTGAATAAAACAACTGAGGGGAATTTTAAATAAATAGTTCATCCAACATCTCTCTCTTCGACGTCCACCTGCCCTGCACCTGGGCCAAGCCTCGTTCAGAACCGGTCCGCCTGGTGGGAGACAGCTTCTTCTTCTTCTTTAAGGAAAAAATTAAAACTCGGTTGTTTTGTAACCTAAGTAAACACAAACTAACATTATTAAGAACATTGATTTACCTGCTGTAAAACAGCTACTGATTATCACGGAGTAAAGTCTGACATCGTCGGCTCGGTTCTGGTCCACTCAGCGACCGGTGTGGAGCTGTTAGACGAAGCGGTCCCGCTTGGCGTCAAATCTGTCGACTCTTATCCACAATCCAGCCAAAATCCAGCTTTTACTTGTTGTTAAATTGTTGTTAGCTGAGCTTTTTAGCTCACAGGAAAGGCACGTGCCGTATGCGCATTAGGTGAAGGTACAAAATTCACAGGGCATTCTAATGATCGGGCATGGTAACTACAGCGGATTCGGGAGGGCAGGGGAGATTCCTTCGGATGCATGTAAACACAAAATCCGTCTGTGTCAACGCGGATCTTTTCCTCTAATTAACATACAAAAAAAACTAAGTTTCCCCCCACCTTGTTCGTGTAAATAGGGCCTAAGAGTCTCATGCTCTATTGACTGAGATAGTCGGGCAAAACCCAGAAATACTTGAACTCCTCCACTTGAGACAGAATCTCGCCCTCGACACGAAGAGAGCAATCTAGCCTTTTTCAACTGAGGACCATGGCTTCAGATTTGGAGGTGCTGAGTCTCATCCCAGCCACTTCACACTCGGCTGTGAACTGCTTCAGTGAGAGCTGAAGATCAAGGCATGATGATGCCAACAGGACCACATCATCTGCAAAGAACAGAGAAGGAACCCTGAGGCCAACAAACCAGACTCCCTCCACCCCCTGGCTGTACCGAGAAATTTTATCCATAAAAGTTATGAACAGAATCAGTGACAACGGACAGCCCTGGTGGAGTCCAACTCCCACCTTGAAGGAGTCTGACTTACTACCAGCAATGCAAACCAAACTCTTGTACCGCTTGTATAGGGACCCAACAGCCTGTAGCAACAGGCCCCCGATCCCATCCTCATGGAGCACCCCACACAGTATGCCTCGAGGAATAAGGTCTAAAGCAGGGGTGTCAAACTCCAGGCCTCGAGGGCTTGAGTCCTGCAACTTTTAAATGTGTGTCTGATGCCACACAGCTGAATCATATGACTGAATTAGCTTCTCAGTGCAGTCAAATTTTCCAAGGTCCTGCTAATTTGAAGACTTCCGGTAAGATGGCGCCTGTGTACATGGCTTGCAATCTACCTCTGCTGATGGTGTTCGTATTTTTTGGTGTTTTTTTAATTTCTCATCTGTGACATCAACTCTCTGCTGGTGTATGAATGACAACAACTTTTGGATCTTCGACTTTGTGTCACCAACGTCGCTTATTTTGATCAATATGAGCGTAACTCTGGAATTACTGCCTCCGGATTGTTCTTTTTTCAATGCTCCAAGGACAACTGGTCGTGGTGGAGGATTATTGGCTATTTTAAAGAAATATTTGCATTGCAGACAGCTCCATGGTTCAGCCAATTATTCAAGTTTTGAACTGCTCTGTTGTGAGCTGGGCCGCTCCAACCCAGTTCTGTGTGCTATTTTTTTACAGACTCCCCGGATAACAAACAGTTTTTAAACAAACTCTCTGACTTTTTAACTGGTGTTCTTCTCCAATATGATCGGGTTTTGATTTTAGGAGGTTTTAATATCCATGTGTGCTGCCCTGATAAACCATTAGCTCAGGACTTTCTAGACCTCATCCAGTCCTTTAACTTTGTTCAGAGTGTTGTTGGTCCGACTCACCAGCAGGGCCACACTCTTGACTTAGTTTTAATGCATGGTTTGTCCGTTTCTGATTTAGAAATTGGTAACACTGTTTTTTCCGACCACAAACCGGTTTTATTCAACACCTCTTTGATTTGTGAACCTGCACCTCCCCCCACACCCAAACCCTGTAGGATTTTTAACCCTTCCACTGCCACACTCTTCTCTTCCATCTTTGCTAGTAATTCTGTTACAGACTCTGAACTCTATGTGGGTCTTACTACAAAGGAGTTGCTTTCTCAGCATCAGGAGGCGTGTGTACAGATCCTGGACTCAGTCGCCCCGTTAAAGCTCAGGAATCAAAAACGCATGCCCCACACTTGGGTAAATGAGACCACACGAGAGGCAAGACGCCTGTGCAGGAGAGCTGAGCGTGGATGGAAAAAAGATAAACGCCAGGTTTCCTTTGATATGTTAAAATCATGTTGGAAAGCGTATCAGACCACCGTTAAACAGGAGAAAAACAAATATTTCTCAAAAATTATCAACTTAAACAGTCACAACCCCTGCGTTCTTTTCAACACCATTAACACCATTCTAAACGTGCCTCAGTCTGCCACCATTGAGGCCTCTGTTGACACCTGTAATAAATTTGTCAGGCATTTTGTTGAAAAGGTTGAGTCGATTAGGTAATCGATTCCACACTCCACAGCCGACCCTTCAGTTCTTGTCCCCTGCTTAGCAGTCTTCAGTCACTTTGACCACATCTCACTCTAATTTTTAAATGAGGTCGTTGGTCACTTGAAACCCTCAGGCTCCCCTGCTGATCCCATCCCTGCTGCATTTTTTAAACAGGTTCTACCGTCAACAGCAGTTTGGCTACAGGTGTGGTTCCTGATGTTTTAAAACATGCAGTGGTAACTCCATTAATTAAAAAACTCGGACTTGACCCTGCAGCTTGTTCAAACTTCAGGCCAATCTCAAAACTTTCATTTCTTTCTAAAATCTTGGAGAAAATAGTTTTTAGTCAACTAACCAAGTTTTTGAATGTAAATGGAATTGTTGAGATTTTTCAGTCAGGATTTAAACAATTGCACAGCACCGAGACAGCTTAGTAAGGGTCTGTAATGACATTCTGTTAGCGAATGACTCTGGTCAGTCTGTGATCCTGGTACTCCTCGACCTTACCACGTTCGTATCTGTGTGACAGGAGTTTTTGTGTTAACTTTGGCAATCATTTATCTGCTTCTGTCCCTCTTTCCTGTGGGACCCCGCAAGGCTCCATTCTTGGACCCCTTCTGTTATCATTGTATCTGCTCCCCTTGGGGTCCATCCTGAGGAAACATAGTATTTTGTTTCATTGTTACGCCGATGATTCTCGGATTTATCTGCCTTTAAAACCCAAAAGTTCCTGCTCCATCCACCCTTTGCTAAAATGTCTTGATGACATCAAGACTTGGATCGCTGCAAACTTCTTGAGTTTTAATGATCAGAAGACTGAGGTCATTGTGTTTAACCCAAGCTCTACCACTGTCACTGATCCTGTAAACCTACACTCCCTTCAGCCACATCTAAAGTAGTCTGTTACCCATCTCGGGATAGTTTTAGACTCGGACTTTAAGTTTAATAAACAGATCAACTCTGTTCTACAAAAAAGCTTCTTTCAGCTAAGGCAGATAGCAAAGCTTAAGTCCGTTCTGTCCAGATCAGACCTTGAAAAACTAGTCCATGCATTTATTACAACCCGACTGGACTACTGTAACTCACTTTATGTTGAGATTAGTCAGGCTTCACTTTCACGTCTCCGGCTCGTACAAAATGCAGCAGCTAGGCTTTTAACAG